AATCTATATAGTAAAAAAAATTGCAAGACAAAGATTCTAGCTTAATTTCTTATACAACAATTTCTAGTAAAAAAAGTAAAATCCAAATAATACTATTATCAAATATCGCTTAAATACTCGAGACAATCCTATGGTTCAAGTAATTATTGTAGATATTTTTCTATATAATAGTATTATATAAAAATTTAATAAAAAGTTAACATTTAAAGGTTGAAATATAAAATGTTATTTGCCAAGTAAACACATACTATAGAATTTGAAAATAAAAAATAAAGACAAAATTTTTATATCATAGCTATATAGTTACTTTTTAGAATAAACATTTAGGCTTGCTCTTCTTTTAATTTTTTAACAACATTCACAATTTCTCTTAATATACTCCATGTTCTTTGATCACTAACTTCACCCAATTTAGAAGTCCACAAGGCGTTCATAGTGTAACCAAATAAGATTCCTAATTCCCGGTTCCATATAAATAAACTTCCACCGTATCCTCCCCATCCTAGAAATTCTATATCTTCAATATCAGGAATTCTAATATAAACAAATCCACCAAATGAGGGCGTAATATTTGTGTAAAGAACATGATCAAAAGTTACTGGCAATTTTGTAGAAATGAGATCAATTATAGACTTTGAAAGAAGAGGTTTGGAACTAACACTAGACGATGATGAACTACTATCATCACTAAGAGGTCGGCCATTATTTACAATTATGGCACCTAGTTTAGCAATTGATTTGGCATTTGTAACTCCATTAGCACTTGGCCATTCTATAGTAACAGCCTCTAGCTTTGAAAAATCAGGGAATGCTGAGAAAGTAGGATGTGAACAATGAATAGTTTTATATAACACACTTTTTTTATCTTTAACTTCTGAGAAAAAAGAACCTGGTACCTTCCCAGCCCACCAACTCTTAAATACACCAAGCGAATCAATAGCTGCTTTGATAGTAGGTGTCTCATAAAATTTTGCAACCCTTGATATAAGATTTGGTGGCAATGATAAATAAAATTCTAAATCGTATTGCGTCAAAATTTCTTCAGAAACGATTTTTCCAATAGTGCGATGTTTCAGATCAACTCTACGAACAATCTCATTTAAATACCATCCATAAGTTAATGCATGATATGCACGATTGGAAACTCCGCCAAATGAATGTGGTTGAGCAGCAAGAACTTTTGCTAATTTATCAAGATCTTCTAAATCAGATTTCACCAGCATGTTAAGATAGCTTACCTCTGCCCAGTGATTTACTAGATCCAGAAGTGTAACATTTTCTTTATTACCTTGAGCAAATTCTGGCCAATATGTGGATATTTTTTCATTGTAATCAAGAAATTTTCGATCTACTAAATATGCTATTACGATTAAACACTATGAAAATAAAATTTATAAATGATCAAAGTAGGGTGAATTTTAATTACAGATTACCCCGTTAATATCAACCCCATAAATACCAACCTCCCGCTAATACCAACCTCTTATTAAGAAGAAATATGCTTAGGCAATATAAAAATTATCCCGCTGTTATCAACCCTCACACATATCAACATAATTGTCTAATCCAAATGGGTTGATATTAACGGGGGTAACCTGTACTGTATATTTAAAAAAAATTTTTTTACCAAAGTTTTGGTGGTCGAAAAAACAGGTTGTAATGTATTATTATCGTATTCACTCAAGATCAGCGTATCCACCTTGTAAATCAACCACTAGTTTACCATTATAGTAAACTGCAACACTTGATCCAACTTCACCACCATTTTCAAAATTGGTTATAACCGCTTTTTTCACATTAATAAATTCCGGTGCTACATAACCTTGTACCTTCGTGCTAAGGCATCTAACTCCTACTAATTGACATTGTAATGGTGCAAAAGGACCGAAAGTTAAATATCTATAAATTAGAATAGATATGAAGAGAATTAAAGCACTGATTGGAAAAAGCTTGTAATTTGCAGGCAGATTCGTTTGGGATTCTCTATCATGAGATGTGGATTTTTTGTTTTCCATTACTATATTATTTATCGTATCGTGATGTTTGTGAGAAGAGAGCTACCACTCAAGTATTCAGACAATTCAAAATTTATAATGTTAAGGTATACGGTTTATGCAGATTTTTACCATGCAGTCCTACGATTATTTCTGAAAATTGAGAATTTTTATTTCCGATAATTGACCTTTTGGAAAATCGTTAAAATTATGCTAATCCAAGGATATCCTTTTTGTCACCTCACATAGCGATAGTGCACCAGGTACGTACGTATGTACGTACAGTACATACATATAGTACGTGCGTAAATAAATTATACTGATAATAGTTTCCATTATATATTTAGAAATATATGCCACAAAAACAACAACGAGAACTAATTTGAAATGCGCTTCCAAACTTGTTCACTTGGCTTTACAGTCCAACCATCGTTGCGTACACACTGTCCTAGCATTACCAACCAGATTTCAAGATCAGGTGTGACGCAGAAGAAACGCAAAAAATCAAAACAAACCAAAAAATCACTTATAACAACATTTTTTCTATGAAACCACTTTCTGCACACTAACAAAATGTTTTCCTAGAGAAATTTTGGTATTATTAAAGTTTTTTCTAACCTAACTTCATAGCAGAACCTAACCTTAATCTAACAGCGAAATTTTTTAGGTTGGCTTTGGTGATTGAAATTTTGATGCATCTATAATAAAAAGATCAAAAAGTAGTTTCGGCATTTCCATTTGTAACGCCAGTGTCTATATTTGTACATTGTATAAAAAAATTATGCAGCTCCGGACTTGGGTTCCTAGTAGGTATTATTACAAGCCTCTAGCTGTCCCACAAAATTTTTTCCACCCCCTGTAATTTTTCTAATCGAATTTTAAGATCAGGTGTAACGTAAAAATTGAAACGGACAAAAAAACAGAAATAGCTCTAAATTTTTGTTAGGAAACCATCTTCTGCGGCCTAATTAAAAATGTTCTTCGTGAAATTCTACAAATAGCGTTATGTTTTTCTAACTATAACGCGGTTTTCTTAGATTTGATTTTACACACAATTTTTTACTTAGAAAACAAACCAAATTTGTTTTGACTATTACGTTACACCTGATCTTAAATTTTGGTTAAAATTACCAGGGTGGAAAAAATTTTGTGGGACAGCTACCTAAAATGTATAATTAGGGATATTTGAATCCAATTGCGCAGCATGCGCAACCTGCAGTATTATGCAACTAATTAGAATTATACTAGCTAATCTGAATTTTAAAAATCATATTGTGCAGTAGCCACTATTAATAAAATCAATCAAATCTACATCAGCAAATTAAATCAATCACTATCCTATATAAATTAAATACTATTATTAAATAAATACTTGCTAATAATATTTTTTAAATATTTAGTGTTCTTTTTTTTTTAAATATTAAGGTGACTACTTAGGAGTCTAGCACGGTTTATTAACTTCTCAGTTCAATTATCAGGATACTAAATAGGTATCTCTTGACTTTGTTACATCAACAAGAGTACAATTGGTTACACATATAACCAGTGATGTATATGAAACATTTTGGGACATAGTGTTTAGACATTTTGAGACATTTTGACAAAAAATAAAGCTAATTTATTTAAAATTTTATTATAATAATCTGTTTTAATCTTCT